TCATAAGATGGGGGCACCTTTGTAGTGACCTGTGTTGTCATTGCTATAGCTGCTGGTTCTCTTCTCACATGCCTATTCACATAGGCTGCTGGCTCATAAGCCACATCCGCATCAGGCTCTTCCCAGTCGTCAATCCAATCCATGGCCGTTTGCCTAACAGCAAGTCTATGCCTAGGAAAGGAGCTCACCTGGGTCTTCCAGGATCACTGCTCCGCTATACCACTGAAAGAGTGACTAGGGCGTACACGGTTGAGGTGCAGACCGCTAGTGTCTTTTATGCGCAGAGTCTTCTTGAGCCTTATGGCAGTCAAGTATGGACACACTAGATAGGCCACTGGAGTGGAACCTGTACAAGTAGGCTCTACATTTCAGGGGGGGGATCTATTGATTGACTTCACACGAAGTGGGGGGGGGTGGGGGGGGCCGTTTGTAGTGATTTTTCAATTGATCCCTTCGATTTTGACCCATCTAATCGTAGACTAGAACTTCAGCTGACCTCCTTCGGAGATCGCTTTCGTGACATGTTCATGTTTGAACCTAGAAGCGGTCGCAATGAATCCATTCCTTGCCACGGTTCACTAGTCACTAGCCGGACCAGCTTGGCTTCTGCTCATGGCAACTTCTTGGCTTTCAGAAGCGCCGGGCCGGCCGCGCCCGCCAAAGCACCAGGTGTTTCCGCCGGTGCGGCCGTGTGCCGTGCGTCCAACCAGGCTTGGAGTGCAGCGAGGGAGTCCAAGTGCTCGTGCAAGTCACCCTTGGGAAAGTACCAATCCAGGACCTGCCAGAATTTCTTGGAATGCTCCTGACTGTGAGTCAGATCGAACATTCATTTGGCTGTGAGTGAATCAATAGGTCTCTTTCCACATCCGACTGTGAGGACCCACCAGGTCAAACAGCTCTTGAGTCATCCACTTGAAAGGTGCAAACCAGCTTGAAGAGACAAGGCTACCAAGGCTATCTGCCAGACCCCCCCCAAAGAAAAACACCTTCGCCTTCTGACCCTAAAACATCCCTCGTCGTCTCCTCCAAACCCCCACCGTTCTCCCCCTGGACCGCTGCGCTCCGCTGTGTGTCGGCCTCGAGCGCTGGGCGCTCAGCACCCTCGGCCATTCGCAGCAGACTCTGCTCGGTGAGCTGAGTGCCACGTAGGTCCAAGAGCAGCTCGCGCAAGGCTGGGAGCTTCCTCGGCAGGTCCACGAAGCTGCTTCTCCAGGCCAGGCTGGGCCATGGTGAGAAAGACATGTCTGACATGTCTATGTTGTATCTATGTTGTACAAGTATATATTTACACAGTATACTGTTTGTATAGGTGCTTGATTTTTGGAGAGATGGCCGGATCTTTCGTCTTGCAAATCATTTCGTCGGCAAAGTATTTTGAAACGTTTGATCGTCCTCGACAAGCGACTAATGTGTGGGCGGTAATGGACTTACAGTATTTTCATTTGTTTGACTTTGTGTTCATGTGTTTTTTTTTTCTGTTTTGTGTTGTTTGATCAACCATTGCATCCTTCTTTGTTGCACTCAGCGAACAAGTTTTACTCCAAAGCATCCTACTCCAGTTTAGCCAACCTTCATTGATATACAAACTCTACTACAGAATACAGAACATTTGGTTAGGCAATGTTAACTACCTTTCGTGCATTTCTAGATTCTAGACCAACTTCAATTGCAATGCTCTCTGTGGCTCTGTGCCCGCTTTTGCTACACAGGTTCTAGACCTGTCACCGATTTTTCTCATCTAATCTTCTCTGCTTCGTTGCTCACGCTGTGGATCCCTGTGGATCGCGCCTCTCTTGGCCGCGCCGAGCATCGTCTGGGCCAAGGCCACCGAGCCCCGGTCGGTGAGATGGTGACAGGCGAAGCAGGTGAGCTCCAAAAAGCGCAAGGTCTTCGGGAGCTTGGAGGCTAAGGCATCCTCAGTGCACGTTGTGAAGCAGGGTGTTCGGAAGGTGTGTTTGTGTTTTTACTTGCCGTCGATGTGGCAAGGACCAAAAGGATCAAAAAGGGAGTTGATGGGCTTCCAAGTTGCATGGGAGGGTTTTCAGGATACATTGCCCAAGTGAGACCTGTTCCTAAACAAGAGGGAACTGGTGGGTTTCGGTTGGTTTAGAAGTTGGACTCCCACAAACTAGGATGGCCCTCTTTCAAACCCAAATGTGCCAATTGCACACGGTCAACAGGTGTGCTCGATCGCATGCGAGATCTCTCTTCGCGAACAAAATATAACAAGGCCAATGCGACCTCTTCAAAAACACACACATTGAATTTCATGAAACACTCAAGGTGTCATGACCGCCATGAACAACAGTGCTCCAAGCGTCTAATCCTTTATCCCCCACACCATGGCAACCCATGAAGTTCAGGGTTAAGGATGTTAAGCTGCCAGGCATTGCCCTGCTGATGGAGATCAATGCTTCGTCCCCGATGGAGGAGATATTGTCCAAGTCCACCCGCAAGAGCTCCAAGCCTCCAAACAGCAAGGTTGCGCACGACCGGGTCAGCCGCCGACCCCGCGCGCGGCTGACGGCAAGCCCGTGTCGAGATGGCTTTGTTCGACTCTATAAGGGCCTTGATACGCTCGAGTTGAGTGACTCTCCGCCCCAAATCTCCCCAAGGTTCAACCCTGCCCCCCCCCCCGCACACCTGGAGGAAAAGCGATGCTGCGAAGAGAAGCATCCGTCAAGCGCTCGCAATTGCCAAAGCTCAGTCTCAATTGCTTCAATCCGGAGGGCAAAGCACTTCCTGATTGCGACGCGAAAAAGAAACACTGAGCACATCAAAGTGTCTGAGACTTACTCTGCACCTCAACTTAAGAGTGTAGGGTTCTCACAATGTGATCCTCTTGATCCTCTTGCCATTGGTCGTTCGGGGAGTTGCAAAACCTCTTGGATTGGCATCAAGAACAACCGTTTCAGTCATAGCGATCTGCTCCATCGAACCGGACACCGTGGCTCAAGTGGCTCGGCTGCGGATGCCCCACCGAGACCCCCGTGACGCCGTGGTGGTGTTCCGGATGCGCGTCGTGCTCCAAGACTCGCTTAGGGTAGTTGCTTTGTTCAATAAATCAGCATGGCGCCACATGGTTTCAATGGGTTTCAACAAGCGTGGCTGGTAGAGTACCTTGGACTTGCCTAGCCTGACAAAACGCGCTCTTGTCAGGCAAGATAAGGATCCAGCGGACACTTCCGCTGGAGCTGTCAAGAGCTGTTGAGTGCAAAATTGCAGCATCTCACTGCAAGATCCATTTGGCCATAACACTGCAAACAAGGGATCTCTATGAAATTCAATAGGGATCTCATTGGAAATGGAACGATCTCGAGGCATACCGGCGTACCTTTCCCCAATCCAAGGAAAGGTAGAGAGCAAGAAAGAGTTGCAGTGCGTTCACCAGGAAGTAAACAGGTCTATCTCAAAATCAGGGAACATCTACTTGCCTGCTGTCTACACGTCCTCACGTCATCCATGTCCTAATGGGTGACAACTGTGTTCTCAGCCACACCAGCACTCTCACATCCCAAATTACATTTGTGGTTTTCATGTGAATGGCACCCCGCCCCAAAATTTGATGGAGAAGTCCTTGGGCACACCACCTGGCACAAAGATTTGGTGTCTGACAGTGTATCTGACAAAGTATGGCACATGAGTGTACCTCAAAAATGATAAAGAGTGGGATATGTGACATGTGACATGTGGTTGAAGAGGACTCTATCAGAAAACTTTATCAACCAGGCCAGAGAAGGGGTTGCGTCCCAGGTACCCCAGTTGATCAACACCACGACCTGCCCCATCGACTTCTCACAAGACCCGTTGCCAAGACTCCGATCACTTGTACTGATGTGTCCGTGATCTTGCCACAGGCATGCAAAGACAAGACCAGGTAGCTCAGGGTCTTGGGGATGAAAGGGCACAAGGCCTTCCTCAAGGGTTGCACCAGGAGAGAGATGCGGAGATGCCTCCACTGCGCCAATGGAGACCCGCCAATGCCATTGATGTCGTCATGGAGTAGATGTTCGATATGTCATCCACCACCGAAAAATATGGCTGGGTTTGTGGGATGTGTCCCTATGTCTATCTCTTGCATCTATCCTGCTAATTGGGCCCAGTGGATGATGATGGTTAGTAAAGGCCTTGTTCAAAAATAGTGATCATTGTTTGCTGACTGTTATAGGTAAAAGGACAGACATGTTGGATGTCCGCCTTCATTGCTTCTTTCCGCCAAGGCAGTCCTGGAATCAATCCAAACTCTGGTGCTCTATCTAATTGCGAGTCTTGTCCTACCAGGTCCTACCATGTCCTACCCAGATCTGTTCAGGCCATTTCGCTGGATTGGTTTGGCACATCAGCTCCTTCCCAAACCTCCCTCTCACTGTCCAAAACACCACAGGGTTCCCTCATGTTCCCTCACTTCCCCCCCAAAAATCACCAACCAAAGCTTCAATTGTCCCGTACAACTCACCTTCCCAAGAACCTCCCAGGTCCTCTTCCTTCCAGGTCTCACTCCCAAGTCTGTGAGTTGTTCACACCTGGTCAAATGCAAGGTGAGCTCGTGCAGGCGGCCAGGTATACCTGCTGCCAGGATCCCCAGCAGATCATCCGTGAGCTCCTTCATGTCAGTCAAATTGAGATTCCTCGGCAAACCGAGCTCATCCGCGGCGGTGGTTTTGCTCGATGCGATCTACCAAGCAAAACCATGTGCTTTCCCTTTGGGAAGAATTACGCAGAGTTGTTAGGAACATGTTGAACCACGCATGCAACTACGACATTTTGGGGGGGTTGCCTTGAAAAAGGCAACCATCCTTCACAACCATGTCTCTTCTTGGCCAAGAAAGGGGATGAAGAAAGGGATTCGTGCCTTTTGACCACTTCAAGGGTCAACTATACGTGGCCCAGATCCTTCGGCATGTTAATTCATCTCCACCTCTCGACCGCCATTTTCCAGGCACCGTCCAGCACACGTCCACCACACGTCCAGCTTCATCGGGTCCCCTCAAATCCGCCAGCTTCATCGGGTCGCCCGGACTGGAAGATGGACCCACATGGAACCTGAGACCCACACAGACCCGGACTGGAAGCCCCCCACAGAGACCCACATGGAACCATGAGGAATTGACCCATCCTTTCGACCCATCTTCCGGGTTTTGGGGTTCGGTCCGCAGGGGAATCGGCCCCCCACGGCGAAGGCATGGCCATGGCTTTTAGGTCCCATCAAGCCATCTCTTTGAAGGTCCAAGTCTCAGGGTGTCTCGGTCCGCCGTATCCTTCTGCACCACCTCCGCAATCAGCTCCAACTCCGCCCGCCGGGCCTGGCCGCCCTTGGCGCACGCAGGCAGCGCGGCCAAGGCGAAGATGCTCCGCAGGCCACGGTCCACCTGTCAAGAACAGTGGAGCTGGTGGGATACAAAAGGCAAACCAACACCGGAACAGGTTGTCGGGTTGTTTTGTTGATGCTTTGGGCTAAGCAACCTAGAGCAATATCTAAAGTTCTAAAGTTACTATCAGGCTATCGTGTTTGAGCATTAGTGGCTCAACAAGAGATCTCTGGGGATGGATCGCCAGTTCACGGCCGCGTTTTCAACGTCACGGCCGACTCCGGATGGAGCTATTCCACGAGCCGGGTAACCTGGGCGAGTCGCCAAACATTCATTGGTGTGGGCTATGTAATGTTTCCTTATAGATCCCCTCACACTCCTCGTGCAACCTCTATGTCCAACACATGTACAGTTTTCCAAGCCAGAAGCCGCAAGCCACCCATAGCCACCCTGGGTGCACACCCTGGTCCATCCGGGTGAACCCGCGATCTCCGAACGTTTGTCGGTCGCCTCATCGTAGAAGGGCGAAGAGTCCAAGGGCTCGGCGTCGAGGGGCTGGTGGCAAATGCTATTCAAGATCCTCACCTCGAGAAAAGACTGAACGGTTCGACCTGACCTAATGAAGAGAACAGATGCAGCTGCATGTGTATGTTTGCTGCCAGAAAAAAAAAACATGTCTTCTGTTTAAAGGTTCGTTGCTGTCTTTGGAATGTAGATTGTTGTGTTTGAGTCGATCGGTACCACCAAACCATGCGAAACCATCGAAACCGAAGTTCACCCGCTCGGTTCCAAGGGCATTCTCAGTTGGCAGCGGAAGGTATTGGTCAGGTTTGCTCAAAGCTCGGGCGAAGTGAGGAGAGAAAGCTCTTGAAGCAAACCCAAAGTGCGGCCAATATCGAACAAACAGAACTAACGACCCCGTAATGGCGGTGGGATGTGATGGGTCAAATTGAACCCATGTGTGTTAGAGGATTTCAATCTGACTTGGACATCACGGCGGATCTTTGAACAAGCCAAGTGACTTTATCCAAGGCCTGAGAGGCGCTTGCCTTCTTCACATTGATCAAGGTCAGCGCTTGTAGAATCAACGAGATGGGGAACTGAGCCTCGCGGTGCGCTTTCACGCTGTCCTCGTAGCCGTGGGTGTTGCGGTAGATGGTCCGAGCCTTCTCCTGAAGGTCCATCTTCGTGACCTCAAAGAGGTGGCCGAAGGAAGAGAGCGGAACATCTGCGGTGTTCTCCATGTTGGGGGGGAACAAAGATGAACAAAGGAAGTGGAACACTTGTGAACATTGGTCTCAAACATACTCAAGAGATCTCAAAGTCTCAAAGACATCCTTTTTCTAGTTGGTTGGAGGCCATCGCTGCTTGTTTTTTTCTCCATGAGCGTGCCAACATGTTGCAGGTGCGAAAATGTTTTTTTTTGAACTTGCACGCATGTTCCAATGGAATCCAAGAACGATCAGAAACCCTTCGTGATTCTGGACAACGCGCTGAACGCCGTGGGAACATGCCGTATCATGGCGTGGACCCGCCTGGTGCTACGGACAACTCTCCGAGAAGAACCAGCGAAGATCAGTACCTCAAACGTGGACCCAACCCCTTTGAGCACAGCTAGTACCACAGTTTCGGGTGGAGTGGGCTCGTCGTATGCGACGGCAAACGGAGGGCTAAGACCTGTTAAAACCACTCGAAAACTGGCGATCCTTGTGGTGAACTCAACTCACTGGAGGGCCGAACCAAAGAACACCCTGCGCCGCCCTGCAAATCCAGGTGGCTCCATCAGTAATGATAACTGCTGAGTCAGAGCCTTGCTCAGCAGTGGCAATATCCAGCAGCATGCGCTGCGCACGTGTAGAGGTCAATGCCACCGACTGCTCGAAGCAACACCAGATCCTTTGGAAGGGTGTAGCCTTGCCGAATGTGTGAGATGTTGAATGCCGCATGGACCCCAATGGCTCCAAGTTGGCGGTCTGCTTTGCACGGTTTTGCAGATACATCGATTTCCTTTTAAGCCATGATCATTCAGCCTATGTCCAGGGAAATGATCGAACGGACAACTTTTCCATGAGGTTCAATAAGTGTTTAAACTCTTGAAGTTGAAGTCACATATTTTACACGAGGGTTCATGCCAAGGACAGGACAATCCTCAAGCAGTGATAAGACTAGTGACTAGGTGTAGAAATGCAATGGTTTCGGGAGGCAAATTTATGTGATGTCCACTACACATGGATACACATGGGATCCAATGAGTTTTGGGATCACATGCTTGATCAAGGGTGCCCAATGGACATAACCCCTTGAACATACCATACCTCAATCCCAAGATCTCCCCATGGAAGATTTCTCCTTTGTAATCTTTGTAAGGGATGTGAACTGCGAACCTGGGTGTACCACAGATGTTCACCTCGCACCCCGAGCGCCGCGCTCGATTCCCCGTGAGGCGGCTGCAGAACCGGCCACAGGAGGTTGAGGGACGCTTCGTCGGCCGCGACCCGTGGTTTGTTAACATCATTATCAAAACACAACAACATCATCAATCCCTCTCTGAAGTGGCTCGGTTGCAATTAAGAAAACCACAATTTCGTAAGGGGTGCCCAATGAGTTTTGGTGCTAAGGGGTGCCCAATGAGCACCCGTTGGATGCTCCTGGTATGTGTTCTTGTTGTCCAATTCATACACCTTTTGCGGATGCATACCCCACAAACAAGAACATACCGGGTTGTTCTGGAACTTCAGCAAGTTTCTCAAGTTTCTCAATGAACAACCCACTACCAGCGGCCCTCAAACCGATGAAACATCAAAGTCTTCACATACAAAACCACGTTTTTTGCTAGGGAAAACGATGTTTTGGTTAGTGGGGCCCCTGGTACTGTACTCTATGATCCCCTTTCTTGAACTCAATCGAGACCGGGAGTCCTGGTTCCCGCACTGGTTCCCACACCGGTCCGGTGGCGGGTTTGACCGGAGATGAATGGACAGTGGGTAGTTTACTCGTGGTGACTTCTGCTCTATGTATATAATCAGTGTTTTTGTAGCCTAATGACATTAGGACTTCAAAGGGCTGAGAGGCATGATGAGACTTGATCTCCCTCAAACCAATCGGAACATCATCAGACCCGAGTGCTGCTTGGGCGGAGAAGGCGACGCTCTGGGTGGAGCGGCGCCCAGCGGTGCCCTTCCCCACCTTGTGGTCCAAAATCAGCAGCAAGCCCTCGCAAAGGGACATGGCACGGAAGAAAGAGGTGGAGCGAGGATCGCTGGTGAGGTCTTTTCCAAGCTCGTGCTGGTTGTTGGCATAGGCGCAAACCCACCAAGCATCCTGGGTCGCTCGGTTGCAAGCAGCGAGGGTTCGAGTAGCCTGACAGCAACCTGTATTTCAAACAGACCAAACTGAAAACAAACGCCACCTCCATGGTGACCCTTATTTCGAGGACACCCGAACGTGAATGTTCGGGTCCGCACCCTTTTCAGGACTACAGGGCTCGACCTCGTGACCGGCCGCACACGTCTGGATTCGCAGCCTCGATCAAAGCTGAACACTATGACCGTAAGAATGCCGGATGCATTCACCGTGTACCTACTGATCCTACTACAGTTTGCAGTGTTAACAAACACGTATCAACATGTATTAATCATGCAAACTAACAATTGCCTAATATGTCTTGTTAAACTTTTGTTATCACATGTTGTCGCCTTTAGACTGTTTGGGGAAAACACATCCGATCATCCTCCAACCCCCTCCCTTTTTCGCTCGAAACCAACTCGGTGACGGAACCACCCGCCGTTTCGATCCATCGATCCTGGGAGCTTAAGGAGCAGGTGACCGAACTTTCGGATTTTGGGGGTGGGGATAGGTGGGATGTCTTTAGGTGTCAGTGGGGGTATCCCCAACTGGAGCCGGGTGGATCATTTGGAAGTCAGGGATATCCCAAGCTCCAATATCCCCCAAGTTGCTTGGGCAAACGATCCCACGTGACCTCCAGCTTTCGGCCACATATCACATATCAAATTTTCATAGAGTCGGTCTCCGCCAATTGCCTCAGCGTGCTGTGCCGCTGCACGCACGCCACGAAGTCGTTCACCGCTTCCGCCCAGGCGTGACTAACGAACCATCTGGGGATCTGTCCTGCACCCAACGGGGATGGGTTCAAACCTGGAGCCCTAACACCATGTCTGTAGCGAACGACCTTCGAGGTAGGTCAATCAAGGTATCCTCAAAGGTCAGGCAGTGCTCAGGGATTAAACAAAATGTAAGAATGGGAATCACGATATTGTGTTACCAGCGGGGTGTTCCTTTTGGCTTTGCCCGTGCTGTAGATCAGCTCCCGAGCTGTTCTTACCAAGATGGAAAGCGCTGCTGGTGCTGACGCTTTGCCGCTGCCACTGGTGCTTTGTCTGCTGCTGGTTACTGCTGCTTTGCTGCTGCCACTGGTGCTTTGTCTGCTGCTGCTGCTGCTGCTTTACTGGTACTTTTTGGGGTGATCTTTTTGATCAACTGGAGTCAGGCTTAGCCTCTAAAAAATCCATAGACGAAGCCCTTTGGCCGTCAAAGCCTATTTGTCCGATAACCAGTTGCTCCTGATCACCCCAACTTGATGGTGCAAGTGATACCAAACAGGCTCACCGTGCATCTTTTGCATCACAAACTCACAAAAATAAATGTCGGTATTCCAGCAGGCTACTAGGCTACTATGATTTCGGTGCAGCAAGAAGTCGCTGGGCCCACACATCCTCGAATTCTCACTTCGTTCGCATCCAACTCAGCCTTTGCAGCCTATAGCCTATCGGCCGTTTCGAACAGAACTCGATCCGCCGCGCTCAGTCCTTGGGGATCGGCGACCAGCTCGACGTAGCTGCACGCGTCAGAAGACGTGGCCGGCCTTGTCCGACGTGGCCAAAGCGGGATCCGGATCAACCAGTGGGGCGAGTCTCGGTTTTACACATGTTTTTTATCCGTCTTTGGTGGGTTTTGCTTGGAACATGCTTAGAGCAATCACGCCTCCCTGGGCCTTGATGCCCTTAGACCTGATCCTTGCTTCTCGAAGCTGTGAAGGGGTTGGGTTCCAGGAAAACCAAGATGCATCATCCAGCTATGTCATATGTCAGAGCAACTGCTGCATCACTGTAGTAACAACCAACCGGTCTACGGAGCTGGGATCTCCATGGCCAGCTCGCTTGAACCAGGCGCGGCTGACGACCTGAAACTCCATATAGGTCCCCCCAAAGGAGTTCGTGGCACGCTTTCCAATACATTCTTAGTGAGGATCTACTTTTCTCTCTCTCTCTATATATATATATATAGAACCGCCAAACCCAATCTGTCATGTCTGGTGGACATCACGATGTTTTTAGATCTATATTTGGCCAACATCAAATAAGCTGTAATTGCATATTATTTTGTGGCACCTTCTCTGTTTCTGAGCATCGTCTGGAACCCCCTGAACCAAAGGCTACATTGATCTGGAAGTTGAAAGTCATTCGTTTCTTGGAGAAACGTGAGGGAGTTCATTTGCAGCATATCTGGCAAGGGTTATTTGGTGCTCCTGTACCAAAACCAACTTCGCTTTTGGTGATCATGTCCTCTGCATGCATCCAAGTGTTTGAAAAACATCACTAATTCATGTCATCCCCCAGGCACACTTGATTGGAAAAAAACAATTATCATGGGCAAAAGGCGAAACTCAAGATCCATCCACGGGCATGGCGGAGCCTAACACATGACGGAGAGAACACCAAACGAACCTCTGCAGGATAAAGAATGGACAGATTGTGTGAATTCCTTGGTGTCCGAATTCGGGACTGGATGTGTCCACTGGGTGCATGCCTTATGCCTCGTGTCCACTGGGGTCGACCGCTTTTGCGCAAAAAGCACAAAAGCATCAGCTTCCTGTCAAAACCGTTGTTTTTTCTAAAAAACTAAGACTAAGTTTTGTATAAACCTGTTTGTAGGGAACACCGAAGAAAAGCCCTAGGCAATCATTGTTTCTACATGTTTTTACGATGTCAACAAAACTCGTGCTTGTTCAGGGTACGACTTTATTTGGGTTTCTTGGAGCAGGCAGCAAGATCTCCCTAAGGCCAAGCCTTAATTAGGCCTCCGCTAACTTAACTTGCCGGGGGTCGTGAACTTAACCTGAAGCGTTGCTGAAATCAGTGAAACTAAGTGGCTTGATGACCCAGTGTGTCAAGTCGTAGAGATTGATCAACTTCACCTGCAAGATCTCTTGATCTTGTTGTCCTCGCCATGGCAGCTTGCCTCCATCCTGTGCGTCTTTTTTCGCGTCAACGCGGTGGAACTGTGACAGTGCGCGGTCGAAACGCATGGTGCTTGGATTGCGGAAGCTGAGGATCCAGAGATGGGGTGCAGCCGTAGGTGACTTTCAACACGTTTCCAAGAGTAGGCAATTAAGCCAAAAGATCCAAGTAGGAATTCAGGCAACAACTAACAAAGACAGTGTCTAAAATGTGGAGTGCATGCAAAGAATCGACTTACCATTGAGTGATGTAGGCTTAGACCATCTTAGACCAGCATGTAGCGATGCATTTTGTGTGTCCGGACCGAGTGTTGATGAATAAACACCCTCCAACCGCCGGTCCTGGTGTCACATCTCCAGTCCTGGTGGGTGTTATTCAACAGTCTACACTAACAGTCTGACTGCGAGCACAGTGCCTGCGGGCACAAACACCTGTGCCTGTGTTTGTGTAGCTTCCTATGGTGCCTGGTTCGCTGATCCGCTGACAGCCCCCGTCGCTGCGCGTTATGTTTACGGTTCCTTCCCACGAATGGATCGGGTTCCTTCCATCTTCTTCCCCATCTGCTGCCTCCGCCTCCGCTTCTAAGAATGCCATCAGCTCCTAAACGACGTGAAGCACGAAAAGCAGGTACATGGAGGATGCTAGGACCTGCTAGGATGGGTTCAACACACATCAGTGGCTTAAAGATTCATGGCTGGCAGGCTGGAGGAGTGGTCATGTCGCCCAGCATGAAATGCCTTGGAGATACACTACTTTTTCAAAAGGCCATCGCAAACAGGAAGTGATCACAAACAGGACTCCACTCCCAAGCCAAGAGGTGTTTGACCTGATGATGCTCCTTCACGTCTGCCTCTCTGGGCCTTTCATCCAACACAAAAACATCTTATAAACCCTGAGCAAGAAGGTCCTGATCAGCGGGGATTCCCACCGGAGTGCTTTTAGCCTTCAACCGGACCTGCCATACGCCCCAGCGCCCCCCCCACGCCCAGCGGACCTGCAATTGCGCCAAGGTGATCCCACGCTCTTCGGTCTTCGAAATCTCCGTGATGGATCTCCTGCAGAGTTCGGGCGCCATCCGGTTCCGCCCAAAGCCAGTGTTGGAGAGCGGGAGGGGGGATGAGGGAGCAATGTATGAATATAGGCCCATTGAGTTGGGGTGTTTTGAGGGGTGAATCTAGGATAAATGATATTCCTGTCAGGCGCCATTGAGCATCTGCATGAACCTTGTTCTCTCTCCCTTGCAGGATGTGAACTGTAATTCAATCGATGCCCTTGCAGGATGAGGCAGCATTGCTGCACCCCGAAGGAACTCTCGTTTCGGATCCTTTCAGAGCTTCTCCCAATCACAGAGCTTTTTTTTGGGGTAGAACGAACTACACATTCTGAAAACCAACAGGTTGACCCGATGGGAACATGGGACTTCCCCGTAGCCAATCTGGGGCACTTCCAGCTCAGAACCCATGATTTCAATCAAATCCTGGCAAGAATGGCAAGAACAGCCCTGGAAAAATCTGAAAGAAACATCCCCGAGCATTGCCAGCCCCTTTGCCTCTCCCTCTCTTCTTCCGGGTCTGGGCCTCTTGCGCAAGGGCCCCAAATCCGTGACCAGCACCCGGCATGGTAGTTCGTCAGCGGAATCCAGCTGCTGTCCATTGGACGAAAGCAGCTGACCTCAGCTGAGCTGTCCCGAGCGCCAATGAAGAAGCCGAGAGAAGCGAATTCTTTGAACAGTTTGTTGACTTGTGAACGTTTACTTTTCAGTCCTATTTCCAGAGTTCTCCCTTTTTTTGCTGGCAGGCACGTCTTTCAGGATGTCTATGGCGCATGATGATGGCGTATGATGTTCCAGATCAAGGTGTTACAAGTCCAACCGAAAAAGGAGTTGCTCATCAGGAAACAGCAGCCTGTCTCCTGTTCTCAGCAGCCCTTCAGTTGGGGGACTCCTCCAATCAGTTGGGATCTGCATCCGCATCCTTAAGAAGGAGCAAGCGGATCCTAGGATGTCCGGGAGTGCCGTTTTCTGCACAATTGTTAGAACGTCGACCATATTGGCCGTGAATGAACAGACGAAAAACCTTTGCCAAACCGACCTGGACATCTTCTAACTTTCGACCTTCCAGACCTCCGACTGAGAAACGTGCACACTGGGTAGCCAGAAGTGCAGCCCCAGAAGCCCCAGAAGGCAAGGACTGGACCCTTGAGAGGTTAATGTCACAGAATGTCCGCCCTTGACCGCACAGAATCCTTCACAAGGTAGCCATATAGGTAAGCCTACCAACAACCCTGCCGCAGTGCTTTCATAGCATTTCTGGCATGCAGTACGAAGGAAACATCGCTTGGTGCAGATCTGATTCAGCAAACCTACGGGCCAGTTCCAACACGGTCCAACCGCCACCCACCAAATGTGTATCAAGATTTCACGAACAGCGACGCCTGCACAAGAAAACCATCCGCCACCCTCCTGTCCCTCTAGAAACACGCTCTCCAGACTCGATCGTCACCCCTCTGATCTGAAGCTAATACATCCACATGCACTACCACTCTTACGTCGACTACTTACAACAATCGTTATGTGGACAAGATGAACATCAAAGAGTGCATACATATATAGCTCTCTCCAAGGTGCAGGAGATGGGAATGGCATGGGACATCTGGATCTCCTCCGTGAGATGCGACATACACAGAATCAACACATATCAGAACTTACAAAAAAGACATTGAAACCTTGAAGTGTTCTGCCAGGGTCAGTCCGTGTATCAACAGTCCATCCTCAGATAAGTCCAACCATGTGAACTGTAGACCATGGCTGCAAATCCTTGGAGAGATCCCCCAGCCGAAAGAGAACCGACAATCCTGGCTCCATCACACCGCTGAGAGCTCTCCTCTCATATCTCTCATCCTCGGATCGATCCATTTTCCCAGCTCCATCAGCCATTCCTGAACCACGTCCTAGATCTTGAACCACGGCCGGCCCACGAATCTAGAATCTAGACATATCTAGCCGAGGCGGCCAGACCCCAAACAAACATGTACAAACAAAAATGGATCTCTAAGAACGACCCATGAGCGACCCATGAGATCCTGTGAGTGTCCTCTCTTTGGTTCCACCGAACCCTTTGACCCCCACCCCTCATCTCCTCCATCAAATCCTTCACAGTGCGAAGTGTGCTGCCAGCACGAGGCTCAAGGCTCAAGGCTTCTTTTCGGCGCATGACGTGTAGCTGGGCAGCCATGGTGATGGATTCAAACGGGCAAGCCCGGTTCGGGGAATCCTGGGGATGATGGTGGTTGCAGGATCTATGACGACACTATACGACACTAGTACTATTTTGTAATTATAGGAGTTAGTTTAGGGAAGTAAGTCAAGCCATCCACATCTTTTGGAGCCTATTTCTGGCATGCCGAAAAGCGCGGCGAGGCATGGCATGCCTGCTTCAAGCGCCTGACCTGTACTTAGACTGACACAGCCGGGTGCTGTTCACTGAGCATAGCTCTTCGTTTCTCAACGGACATGCCATGCACGGAAGACTAATTTGAGATACAAATTCAAAGACGGGCAGATTCCATCTGTATTTAGCAGCGACGAAGGACTCCTCTGAATCCAGCAGCGCAGCGCGCAACAGCCATTTTTTTCGCCGCTCGGATCAGGATCCCAAGCCTCAGCTCGGGATGACGGTCGATGTTGAAAAACACCGAAAGGACGATGAGATAGGACTCTTGGGCGCGTATATACTGAAATAGGACTCTTCGAACCCATGAACAGAAAGGAATCAACACAGTCAGGCAGGAACATTTTGAAGTCAGAAGTCTCCAGCACTACACTGCAATCACCAGGAACGAACGAAGTGCTCTTCTCACCAGGAACCCCCCACGTTGCCCGCCACCACCAAAGGCTTGGAAGCGGCTGGGTCCTTGCATGCACTTGCACGTGCGTCACTCGATTGGGGTCGTTCCAGAGGGGCCATGTCAGGCGAATCCCTGCAAAGGACCACATGGAACACCAAAACGGTGGGTATTCGGAAACCACCGGGACAAAGTCTCAGGTTCCATGTTCGTTTGCGCAGTCTTCGAATTCCTGCGTCCCAGCGTGGATCGTGTGGACGGTCCAAATGCTGTGGATCCAACCCCCACAACACCATGTCGGAGCCGTTTCGGGTGGGCGGTCTCCGTCGCGTGATCGGGTTCCAACCTGAGGGTCCCAAGCTTCGCGCAAGCGCGACACGAACACCAACCGAGCACCGCGGTGTCCGTCGTATGGCGGAAAAAGAAAGACACCATCTCTGTCCTTGAGGCGCGCTGGGTGCATCAGCCTGGAGGGAGCCAGGGGAGAGCTTAGTCGCAGGCGCAAGGAGAAGTAGTCGGCACTATATATGGTTTTCTAGCAGACATGTGTGATGTGATGTGATACTCAATCAGAAGATGCACTCCCTGAAAGAATTCATGAAAGATGATGGCACCACCTGTTTGAGGAAAATAAGGGACCATTGTTCACTTCCATGATTGTTTCAAGGAGTGTAGACTGATATAGCCGGGAAACAAATGAATCCTCACAACCACATGGAACTTGCTCTTTCGTAGGAGTCTTGCTGCGATGAATCTAGGCCAATGGAATGAGGAAATCTCGTGGACCTTTCTGCAATTCAATCTGGGAGTCCCGGATGGAACCGCTTGAAAACATGTGTGAAGGCAGTGAACCTCTGAGGCGTCACCAGTTTAAACAAAGACATCCCCAGGGCATCTTGGACATCACCAGGGCATCTTCAGCAGGGTATCAGATGTATCGGTCTGAACGTCTGGTGGCTGACATCCGCTTCAGATCCACTTAATTAAGCTACAGTAGTTTGCCGATGGCAAACTGGCATTCGGCACCCTTCCGGGTTAGCTCAGACGACTCCTCTGCGCCGGCGTCCGTCGGTCGGCCTGCAAGAAGGGCTCGGCGGAGGCGCCTCGGCCGAGCCCTGTTGTAAACTGGTTCGATCGGTGGGTACCAGGAACATGTAAGTTCAGGGTGCCTGACTCCAAGTCCTGGCAGAATGAGTCCATCCACCTTCAACATCTGTGAAGGTTACCAGTGTATGGTGAGAGCCCGTGGATGGGTTAGAGCATAGGTTTGTCATACTTTGAAGGTTTCATGAGGATCTGATGGGCATAAGGTGGAGCCGAGAAACCCAAGTTCCCATCACACAGGGAATCGGAACACCAGACAGATGCTTTTTTCTTAGAATAGAGAGGGTGGAAGAAACACCAATTCAATTTTCATGCAGCCTCTTCGTGACTCTCCTTCATGACAGGTGAGGGATCAGAAAAGGATTTACCGGTCAAAGAAATTGTTTGAGGAGATCAAGACTAAGTTGGATCAAAACCTATCCGTGGCTTGGTGTCATTGGCAGCAGCACCTTCTGCACGTACCGGGCACGTACCGTATGTGTGTGTGACCCCCTTGGAGTCACGGGTTTCGTCGTTTTACGCTATGATCAGCAGGGAGTGCTGCACCGTCTTGGAGTGACCACAATGAAGACACCGTCTTTGACTGCTGTGATGTCCGCAGGGGGAGCCTTTTGGCTGTGGGCGTTCTAGTATATTGTTCTTCCGGGCGTGACCAGGCTGTTTAGGTGAGACGTCGCGGTTGGCAGTCTTGCATTCCCGCATTTGCCTTGAACACTTTGAGCGTTCGGAGTTGGAGCCTTTTAATCTTTGAAGGGTTTTTGATTTGTAGGAATAAACAAATCATTGCGCAACTGCTCTTGTGTTTTTGGCGGAACTCGCGAAATGTCTATCCAGTGGAACCACATCATTATGAGGAAATCAAGCGGACCAGGGGACCAGATGGGACCAGGCACTAACCATATGTTTTGTTGCTACTTGTTTGAACCTCATCATTTTTCCAATACCTATAAGTATACCCTTCACCACTCGTTTTGACGCTGTCTCATTGCCGAGTTCATCGATGATTTGAGCGAAAAAAAGGCCAACCAACGGGACCTAGCCGGTCAGCGCCCGGTCAGCGCGAAGTACCGAAGTACTGAAGTAGCACGTGTTCATTCTCCGGACACAACGGGGCGAGACCTCTCTTGGAGACCTCCTTCAACATGGAGACCTCAGGGAGACCTCAGGGAGACCTCAAAACACTGGGGCAAGACCTCTCTTGGAAACCTCCAGGGAGACCTCAAAACATGTGGGGATACCTCCAGGACATGTGGGGATACCTATCAAAGCTTTCGAACTGCCACTCATGTAGACGGTCCAGAAAGGCTCCAGCACGTGACGTGTGTTCAGGCGCCCTCACAAGGTCGCCCAAAACGTCACTACGTATATCATTTCTGAACGCAAGGTCTTTTGAGACGGTTTCCTCCGTGTGGGGCTATGAACACAACATGGACCACTTCTCAAAACGCTTTCACCACATATCTTTGGACACTCTACTACAATATTCCTACATCTATTGACATACATCAGGGTTCCCAGGTCAAACCTCACCAACCAAAAACAATCCATACACCCATACACGCCAAAAATACTATCTTAAACACAACTGCAAGCAAGTAGCGGTTGTCAAAGTCCTGGCCAGAACACCACAGCTTCCCAGCTGTCCAAGTTGGATCAACAAGTGTGCTATGCTAAGTTACCAAGTCGTGTACCCCCTTCTCTTGCACTTTTCCGGCATTCTGGCTCTTCCGTGAGCATCTGTGAGCCAACCAACCCCATCCGTCAACGTCGCGTCACCGGTGCCGGTCATCTGGTGTCGCCAGTTGGGCAAAGCCTGTGGCACGTGCGCGTGCGCGCGCACGTTCGCACCGAAGAGGATGTGGAGATGAGAATGTTTCAATGTCCCGGACCATCAAACCGCTGTTGTTGACTTATTTCTCCCAAAAGAAAAGAACGCTAACTAGGCCTAGCCTATTAACATAACTTATAACTATTACAAGATGATGATGGGTTCCTCTGGGTCAATATGGGTCAATGAATAGCTAATACATTCGTCCATACAGTCTCTTGACACTTCCCTGGAGTAACTCCCGCACGGTTCCGTGGACTCCACGCGGTGTAGAAGATGCCTTATAGACTCGTCGACCGTCTACTCCTTTTCATCCAAAGAGTTAGGACACGTCCCTTGCTCAAGTCGATTCAAACGTTTACTGTGTAACACTCCTTCCCCTTCCTTCCATCATCAGTATATGATTCTTCACACAGGTCCAATCCCTTTGAAAGCATCCTTCCGTTTTCGGAGCTGTGTCCCATCCCCACCTAGTTCCCTTGTCCATCTTTCCGCTGCCATCTCTGTTCACTTGCGGCTTCACTTGCGACCAGTCTACTCCGCCCACATGAGTTGACTGGGCACCGCGGTTCTCAGGCGGCGGACGCCTTGGCGACCGCCGCCTTCGATGCTTTTGGTGTTCGGTCTCGTGTAGCCAACCGGATCGGTGACGCGGCTCGTGTCTTCACGCGACTCGCTCTCCTCCAAAGCCATCGTGGCCACCTCTACGTCGGCCACGATGGCGTCGGCCCCAATTCTTCCATCCGTGGTTTGGTTCAAAAAATGCTGCGGGTCCACCAGAGGTCACCGAAACATCTCGCCAGATTGGATTGTCTCAAAGGCGCCATGACCGGCCCTTTCTGGCACGCCGAAACGTCGAATGTCTGGAAAAGGGACCGGTGAACCGGTGAGACGGCACATCACCGAACTCTCCACCCTCGTGGATTCGTGGATTTGGGAGTTCATTTTCCCAAGAACAGTTGGGCCATCCACAACTACGTCCTTCCTGTGACCAGGGTCAAGGTGCTTCCTCCCCAGAGGGTTCCGACTCCAATGACATGTAGAAACATGTATAGAACATGTATACCTAACAGTCCATTTCATTGCCAGCATTGCGCGACACATCTGGCCCCGTTGGCTTCATGGAGACGTTGCCCCTGACCGTCACAGCAGCGCAGCTGCACAGCCCCAAAGGCCATCAATGTGTCGTACAAGGTCTTTTTCATGGGTCACCAGGGTTTCTTGCCCCTTTTTGCTCAACTCTGTCAAACACATATTTAATTTGTAGACCCCACAACAGCCGAGGGGGCCGAGGACATGAAAGGACTCAAATCCTGCGGTGAACTAGTTCAGTCATGCGAGTCATGCAACATAATGATGTTGAATATGGACCAGGCCGTGTGGGAGAAAGACCCAAGGTGGTAAGTCTACATATCCCTCCACTATGCATAATTGGTCTACTAACTTGTCCCGAAAGAAGCTTTTGGACGATCATCATTCAACTGTCAACCATCGTGATCTGGCTGAATCGCAACTCTTCGCCGACCTCCAACAAAGTCGTACTTAATACGAACACGATATGAAAGGGCCGTATGTGCCAGGTTGTCATACTCATACTGAGACGATTGGTCAACGAACCCTGCCGCTGCTTGGAGGGCCTGCTTCATATTCTTTGCTAGAAGTGATGGATGTCCACTCCCACCATCCAACTTCACTCCCACCATCCAACCGAAGTGGTGTTCCGGATGCCTTTGACCTTGGTGAGACGAACACATCGAGATGGGCTTTTGAGGCGAACACACCTTGCTCCTCACAGCTTCGCATAGGCGACCGTGGCCGTTGCGACCTCCGCGCCGTGGTGGAGCCTCGGCGGATGGGTTTGAATGTCCATGTTATTCCATGTTCTGTCTTCGTTTTGTTTGAATTCCTTCTCACATCCACGAAACATCCAACACCCACGCTTTTTGGGAAATTGAAATGTCTGGCAAATATAGAAATACTGAATGACTGGTTTACATATATTTTTATCATTCATTAATCATAATAGTATGGATGTTCAGAACATGTGTATATAGTTATATTGTTCTTTAATGATATCTACTCTCGCAGAATTCTTCAATGACTGCCAAAAGTCACCATGCGGTGGGCGCTTTGGGTTGAGATGGCAAGCATCCCGGCCCACCTGTCAGCCCCCCTATGATAGCTTTTGGCTGATATCTAATACCCTGACAATCCCTGACATATCGCAAGAAAAATGGACTCCACCAGCTTTTTGGTGCCTATCTCTACTGGGAGATGGGTACAGTACCTGTGAACCCAATTGCCTTGTTGAGACCTCAGGTGATTTTCAGGTGTTTTTACGACCTGCCTCTCACAGCCTCCTCTCCACCCGAACCCCAAACACACACGTCCAGAAAAAAAACGCGTCCCACCCACAAAATTTCAGCATTTCACCAGCTCAAGTTTCAAGCTCACTCGCGTTGCTCGTTCTTTTTTATTTGTCTGCTCAGCAGCCATGACAGAAGCTGGGGACACACGGTGTCCATGTTGCTCAGCGCTTCTGCTGTATCGACATGCCTGCGTCGCTGCTGCGCCCAACGGCGATGCTTCGCAGCGATGCTCCGCGTGCGGGATGGGATGCCCACGGGCGACCACTGCAGTGGCCGGTGACCGGTGAGAGGTGTTCTTCCCATGCGATTTGAGGTGACCGGTGATGGTCCAAGAAGCGAAAAAATCCGGCCTAAAGTGAGAAGATCATCGGGGCCTGTCTAGTAAGAACATCTCTTCATGATCTGAGAACCACTTCCCGAAGCTTTGGTTCTTTAAAGCCACAATGCTCATACTATACTACCTTTCCCATCACAACACAGCGACACCACCAGTGCGGAAGACAAAAGAACACGTCCCGGTCCTTCGCGACTTTAGAAGCGACCGACCGAATCCGGACAGACATCGAGCGAGAAACTCCGAACGACGAGAGGCCGCGCCGCCCCGCGCGCCGCGCGCCGCGCCTGCCAAGCCAATGCAGCAGGGCGACGCTTCCGCCAGTGGCCAGGCCCAGGGGAACGGCGCTCACCACACCTGAAGCCGAGCGACCGAGCCGCGTGGGGTCGAGTCGAGTCGTGAACGAAGGCGTTCCGAACGGATCCGAACGGAGCCTCACCGGTGCGGTGCTGAAGCCCACTGTGTGTGTCCACACTGTTCGGGGAAAAACAACACTTTATATTAATGTGCTTCGAATTGAAGCCACTGTTGAAAATGAGGAGTCGTCGTTCCAAGGAGTTGCGTTGTGTTGCGGCGGTTTTGAACACATCTTGCATAGACGATCAGCATGGACACCTATATGGACACGAAGCCTGCATGTTACATCATGTTACATCCAGCATGAGCCCTGAAAAATGGTCGGGCAGGATTCATTGGTGGATCCAATTGCCAATGTTCGATCTTCCATTGCTTGATTTTGATGTTGGGGCTATCCCTTCAAAAAGGTACGGCGCCAGTTGGAAATGACTCTTCAACACTTTTTTAAGCGTTCGCACAGCGGCACAACTCACCCAAGTTCAACAAGACCAAGCGGCGCACGCGCCGGTCCATGCCGGGCTTCATGCAAAGCGTCAAGAGCATCTCGGAAACAGCAACGCGGCGAGGGTGTGGGACCATGCAAAGCACATTATATTCATTCGATGAAGTCGCTGGGAGGAAACAAATCCCTCTGAGTACCTTGAGGTGCATCATGGATCGACGGGTTCAGTCTTTTTTTACCCCTTACAACTGGTTGGCTCAAGTGCTGTGAGTCTAAGACCAAAAAGGGACTCAGCGAGCGCTGTGCAAAATTGACACCAAGATGGGAATGGCTCGACCATGGTTTCTGGCGAAATCGCCCGAATCCCCCTGTCAGTATGATCCCTAGGGGACATATTTGTTCATATGATCCCTTGGGCTCCTGGCCCATATCCTCAGAAGGTGCCCACCCCAACCACCAAACCTGGGGATGTGGGCCAGGAGCCCTGGGGATAGGCACGAATCCCTGGTCCACAATCGTCACAGGAATCGCCAAGAATCTGCTTTTGCCGACAGAAAGGAAAAAGGGACATGTTACAGTTACAGTTCGATGCAGTTCCATGAAATTTGGTGCCCATCTCCAAGGATCGTTTGAATACAAACCAACCACCCACTAAACAAATGATCTAACTCGCACACACACACACACACACCTAGGGTCGCGCTGTACCCATGATCCGAGGCTCTCTAGCTGTCTAGTAAGTGCAAACAAACACGAGCTTGGCCAATGAGGTGAAGCACCCACACAACATCATACAATGCTCCCAGCCAGTGGCCAGCCAGTGGCCCTTAAGAAAAGGCTTCCAGTGACCACACCACCTGGGATCTCAAGTAGGGTCTGTGTATACGACCAAAGGGACCTGCAACCGGCAGCACACCAGCAAGGCACCAGCAGCACCACCAGCAATAGGCATCTTTTACAATCACCTTGCTGACTTGCTGATGCAAATGATGCACTACCATTACGACTGGTGTTTTCTGCATCAGTAAATTGCCAAAAACAGTCTCCGTTGGAAAATGAACACTACCAGCCGAGTCACGCCGCTCACGAAGCCGCCCACGTGGCCCAGCACGTCCTGAGGTGCAGCGAAGACGATGTCTATCAATCCATCTATCCATCTATCTGTCATCTGTCCAGACACAGCATCAAATCAATCCATCTAATCAATTGATCATGATATATCTATATCTGTCTATCTAGACACACCAATTATATACACATATAACCAGGGACCACAAGAGGTGGTGAATGGACACCCCTTCGATGCTTTCAGCTATTGGACACCGCTTGATGGAGTCGAAAAGAGGCCAGTTCCGCGGGCTGCGTTGGCATGTTGGGTGAAGGTTGGCCCAAAGAAAAAAGAAAACAAACAAGCATAACGGAACCCATGAGATGCATGTCATATCAATATCAAACTATACACAACTTATGTTTTTCCAGGCAA